GCCTTGGGTGTGCTAGTTTCTTTGGTGTCATGGTTTTTGGGCTGACTTGGTCCCTTGGTTTGGGCTTGGTTGTTCGGGTTTTTGCTGGTTATTTTGGGAGCTGTTATGTTCTACTTCTTATTTCAGCTCATTATATTGAGCAGGTGCCTTTTTCAGCTCATAAATGATGTTATACAGGTTCTTCCCCTCCTCTGTTTGCCCTTTCAGTTTCTCTGCCTGGCCGGTTCTTCCCCTCCTAGCATTGGTTGTTCGTTGGCTGTGTCCAGGCAGACCTTTCGATTGCTGCTCCTGCCGTGGCCTATTGGCCTTCTGCCTCCCTTTGCTGATTGGTTCGGTTGATGGTTGTTTTGGCTGTTTTGTTCTCTTTTTCTATTATAAATTGGGACTGTTTTGGAGCAGATTTGGAGAGATGATGGATGATTTTTTTGGAGTTTTGTGGGTTTCTTTTTGGATAGCTTGTGAGCTATGCCTCTTCATCTTCTCCTTCTTCTATGACTTCGTCTCGAGCTTCTTATCTAATTCTTCTAGCCGCAAGTGTCCACCCCATTTGTATCTTTCTTCTCAATCAAGGAAAAGTTATTTTAGATGTTTTTTATGTTTTAAAATTATGAGTTGTAAGGTGTCGTTGCAATGTGTTGTCCTTATTATTGTGCTAAATTTTATCATTTTTGAAAGGAAGACAATAGTGTATGCAATCTTAGTTTTTTCCAAAAAATTTATAGCATCAATTTGGTATCAGAGCTTAGGTTTTTTTGTGTCTTCCTTCTTTCTTTTAAGTCTTAGAAAAAAATGGAAAAACATGAAGACAATGAGTCATTTGTGGGTGAAAATAAGAAAATAAGCCAGGTAATCTTGAAATCCAAATTCCAACCAACAACTGGGTCCCTTCCCAAGGTAGTTCTACCGATCCGATTCAAAATGAGTTATACAAACTTCAGATGAAGATGCACTTATGTACATAAAGTTATGAAAATAAAAAGCAATTTCTTCAGACCAAATTTAAGCAAGAAAGAGAAAGGATCCAAAGAAAGCGTGCAGATCTAATATCAGAACTGGATAAGAATCATTCAATGTGTAAGGAAAGTTCAGATTCACTCTCATCAGAAGATAAGCCCTTTCAACCGGGGAAGAATTTGAAGTAGGCAGGGGGGGGAATTGATGTGCCATGGTTTTTGGGATGACTTGGTTCCTTGGTTTGGGCTTGGATGTTCGGGTTTTTGCTGCCTATTTTGGGAGATGTTGCGCTATGCATCTTATTTCAGCTCATTATGTTGAGCAGCTGCCTTTTTCAACTCATAAATGATGTTGTCCAGATTCTTCCCCTCCTCTGTTTGGCCTTTCGATTTCTCTGCCTGGCCGGTTCTTCCCCCCTGGCATTGGTTGTTCGTTGGCTGTGTCCAGGCAGACCTTTCGGGTGCTGCTCCTGTCGTGGCCTATTGGCCTTCTGCCTCCCTTTTCTGATTGGTTCGGCTGGTGGCTAGTTTGGTTGTTTGGCTCCCTTTTTTCTACTATAAATTGGGGTTGTTTTGGAGCAGATTTGGAGAGATGATGGATGATTTTTGGAGTTAAAACCTGCGGGTTTCTTCTTGGATAGCTTGCGAGCTAGTCCCCTTTCTCTCCCCCTCTTTGTGACTTTGCCTCGGGCTTCTTATCTACTTCTTCTCTCCGCAAGTTTCCACCCCATTTGTATCTTTCTTCTCAATCAAGGAAAAGTTTTTTTAGTTGTTGTTTTTATGTTCTAAAATATATAAGAAGTTGTAATGCTTGGTTAATTCTATGGTGTTCTTATGTCTTTTTATTTTAAGTTGTATGTTGTTGTGATGTTTTGTTTTAAAGGAAGACACTAGTTTGTCTATTTTTGCAATATTTTGATTGCATCATTTCCTGTGACTATACTTTTTTTTTTTTTTAAATGTTGATAAGAACCTAATTTTGTGCACCATAATTGTGGCATAAGTTCATTATTGATGAATAAGATCCTCTCAATTCTCGCATGAAAGGCTTGATTGAAACAAAACTACAAAAATTATGTTGCCTTTGTTGTTTTAATTGCTCTTTCACTTATTATTTCTACTTGGTGGCAAATCTTTCTTGACTTTGATTATGCTTTTGCAAATCCTTTTTGGCTCCTCTTGTGACAATATAATGGTAATAATGCAAAAAAAGAAAAGGACCGCTTGTTACAACATATACTAATAGTGCAAAGAAAGGATTTGTTTCCAACTACATGGCAATATACCTGAAGATTACATATTGCTATCAAATTTGAAAGGATAATCATCCATGAAACCTAGACCTATCGCTACCCATTGTTTCTGTGTATACCATTGAGCACATTATAAAAGCTATCATAAATCAAGGCATACATAATGCCATCGTGCACAAAACACCCAAAAAAAAAACGTCATTCATCAAACATTTCAAAATTTTTGGACGGGGGACAGGGGATCAATTTGTTAAGCAGGCTCGTTTTTTTTTTCAAAATACCAACCCCCACCACCCCCTCTTTCCCAACCCAAGTGTGGCATTAGAAATGTGAGAAGTCAAATATTAATTCTCTTAATTTTTTTGTTAAATAACTTCATTCTCAAAATGGATCTAAAGCCTTCGTTTGGAGGCAATCAAAGACTTTCAAAGATACTTTCTACTGTTTGAGGTAAGCAATTTGGATCTATCTTGGTTCCTCACTGTCACGACCCGGCCCGGTTAGCTCGTAGATACGAGGCGGGAATGAGATCGGACATGTAATAAGTAATTCATCATTCTTCAAGTAAAATAATACTATTCAAAGAAATCTTCACATGACAAAAAGCGCCTCTAATAACACAATTCCATAACACCACATATGTCTAACATAATGTACAAGATGGCTACGAAGCCTAAAACGGCATTTTTGTGTTTTTACACTCACATACCTCAAGCATTGATGGCTTTACAGTGCATGAAAAAAGGAAGTTCATGTGTGATATAATTAGCATTGTAAGATTTTTTTTTTAATGAGTGATTATATTTATGAAGTTTGAAAGTTTGATGTGTTCTTAATTTTGAGCACCAAAGTTCCTTCATCTATTCATTATTAATGGATTAGATCCTCTCAATTCTCGCATGAATGTAGGCTTGGTTGAAACAAAACTACATAAATTTTGTAGTTGTGTTTGCTCTTTTACTTTTTGTTTTCAGTTTCTGACAAATCATTCTTGACTTTGATTATTCTTTAGCAAATCATTTTTTTGGTGCCCCTCATTACAACATGCAATAATAGTGTAAAGAAAGGACCTCTCGTTACAACATATACTAAAAGTACGAAGAAAGGATTTGTTTCCATTTTCCTCCTATGGCAATATACCTGAAACTCCATGTCTCTACCAAATTTGAAAAGAAATTCATCCATAAAAGTTAGACCAACATACCAGATTCACCTAATCATCCATATGATTTGGATGATATGAGAAAAATAAAGATATCATTTTAATAAATAGATCATCAAAATGGAAAGAAAAGTAATGAACTTGAATAGACCAACCCATAAAGATTCAGACACATAACACCAACTATAAGCATTATCTAATTAAGAAAGAAGTTTTTGAACAACAAAGTATGTAGACCACCCATTACTCTCCTGCTCCTATGCATACTCTTAAGCACATTAAAAGCAATGCATTAAGCCATGCCCAATTCCATCATGCACAAACCAAAAAAAACATCGTTCAATTTTTTCCCATTATGATGACAATCATCGTTGATTTTCTTGCCAAAAGTACAAAAATAAAGTTAGCAATACATTTTTTATGTTATTCTCCTTCTATAATGCACAAAACCTATTAAGGAAAAATCACCGTAAATAGAGCCAACTGTCGTACAGGTGTAGATTAAAAAAATAGAAATAATTGAAATGGGTGCCTTAGAAATGAACTTTGAATGATCAAAGTAAATAATACATACCATATACATCAACTGCAGAGAGAAGTTTACGGATCTGGTCTAGATGCTTGTATAGATTGTTACCAATTGTTGAAACTGCTTCACAGAGAAATGAAACAACAATTGCAGACTGGTTGCAAAGTGCTTCTACTCCTTGGCTTTGATCAGCATTAATATTGTTAACAGAAACGGGTAAAAAAACAAACCAAGCATCAATTTCTGAGAGATCTTTATCAAAGGCACCAGTGCTGATCATTGCAGCTCGCACCAAAGCATATGCTTGACTTTTAATATCCTTGACTTGAGAAAATATCAGGAAATTTATCAAAGGATACAAGTGCTTGTACAGCAATCCAGCTGAAATCCGGTTTTGTGAAGATGGTTGAATGCATTCAACAAGTAGAGACAATAGAGATCGCTGGTGATCAATAGATAAGGTTGAAGGATTAGCTGGTAGGATTTTGAAGAAGTCAAACGATCCTTCAAAAGCAATTGGCATTGTTCGCTGTAACACAGTTAAGGCAGCTTAGGAATATGTAGACTAAACCAATTTCAGGAATGTGTTAAATACAATTAGTTTTAGTTTTTTCCTAAAAAATGCTTTCATGCAACTACTTAAAGCCCAAATGTTTTCCATAAGTAATGTATTTGCTAATGGGATACTACAACAACATCAAGCATTTATCCCACTACGTGGGGTCGGAATGGTTAATTTTTTTTATCAATTATTGATGATTATGATCGATACTTAATTAATAATTGGTCTGAAGGTTTCATTAACAGAAAAAACATTGACTTTGCATGGAGCAAAACATTCAACACAAAAAGTGGCATAAAAATAAGATAAAGAAAGAAAATTCATACAGGGCTTACATTAGTTTCTAACAAGCAAGGAAAGTATCAAGTAATAAATCATGGTGTTTGCTGCATCAAACTATTTAATTCAAGCTTTGTAAAATTCTTCTTGAACAAGACAAAAATTTTCAACTATGAGCAAAGCTAAATGTAAATTATTCCTAAATCGTTCGCAAGGTTAGTATGTTCAACTACCAAAAGTATATGTAAAACCTTGAACCTCTTGCCTTAATAAGAGACTACACTGCTAAAACTAACACATGAAAAATAAAGCAACAAAACAACAAAGAAAAGTAGAAAATTTGTTAGGCAACCCATAAAATATAATTTTTGCATAATGATCAAGTAACTGGATTAAAATAAATCAATACTGAACCAACTATCAATAAGAGAAGTTTGAGACTTGAAATTACCAAATAAATTTTAAGAACATCGAGCAACTTTGACTGAAAGAAACTATTCAAATCCTTTAATTTATTATCAAAAGTACCCTTTTTAGGCAATCCCCAAATCTCGTATGCTGCAGAAAAGTGATCATTCTCTACTTCTGAGATTTGAGCAGCCGCCACTTCTAATGAATCTCCAGCAATATCATTGGCTAGCGGTTTGTCCAGCCCACTTACAAAAATATCAAGGTTTTCACTTACTTCATCTAATTTTTGTTTTTTTAATCCAATGTTAGGAAAATTTGCAGGTCTCTTTACACCTAGGCCTGAAAAGTTTGCACTTGATGAAGAGAGCAACTTCAACAAAACCTGAGGGTCTGGAAGCTCTGCACGGATCTCATTCTGAATATAATGCTTCAAGGCAACACAGCGTTGGGTTAAAACTTCATCAGAAGGAAAAGAAGAGATCCCATCATCATCTAAGTGCTCGTCCACGGGCACAAAGTAATTTAATCCAGGAAAATTATGCATGCTAGCCATATTTTCCGCACAAAAATCTGCTTCTTGTCTTACAACAGTGCGCTGAATCATAATATCCAATGATGTCAATAGATCATCCACTGACTTCAATAATTCTAGAATGAATCTCAAAGAACCATGCTTTACAATATCATCTGAATGAAGCAACCCCTTGTTTATCATTGACCTTGTAAAAGCTCGTGGAATGATACATTTCAATGTCTCATGCAGATCCTCGATGCTTGTAGCTAGTTTTTCACCTAACTTAGAAGCAATAATCGAATCAATATTTATGGTGGAGACTAGGTCAGCAGCAAGAGAAATGGCAGAAAACCTGCAAAGGTGTTGCAAATAAAAACAAAGCATTAAAAAGAAATAATGAAAAAGAAAAATAGAAATAACAAGAAGTGACAAGCAGTAGTTCTATATGTTGAAACATGTAAAAAAGCCAACCAGGATGAAGATGAGCGAGGTTCAAGATGGTAAGGGAACTCATTCAGGTAAGCTGAACATAAATTTGCTTCCTTTTTGACAATGGCCAGAAGCAACTGCTTATGATGTGCTACTTCTGTACCTTTCAGCTTCTTCATAAGATCTAACAGCCGTTTTGTATTCCCTTTCAAGCCTGGACCTGGCATGAGCCCATTCTGGGGATTGGTACAGACTATAACTAAAACATCATGAGCAACGTTGGCAGCAGGCCCTGCTAATGGGTTTCCCGAAATAAAGCTCAATTGCTCAAGTGTGGCACTTCCAAAAAGAACACTGCGCAGCGCTGGGGAGACAAGTGAATCCACTTTCAGAAGCTTGTCATGCAATGCGGATAAAACAAAAATAATTGTATCAGTGTCATCATTTGCAAGCCCACGGAGCACCCCATAGTACATTTCCTTCTGCTGAAGGATCCACCTTAAGAGTCTAGGATTTCCAGCTTCTAAGAAGGACATGGCAAATCCAACAAAAGCCCGTCTAGTTGAAAGCCTCTTGCTAGGCTTAAAATCATTTCCAAGCTTTTTCTTGTGAACACCACAAAGCTTCGAAAGAATAGGGAGCTTGAAATCAAATCTTTTAGCAACCTCTAATGCTAAGCCCATTCTCCGCCTGACAATAGATGTTAAGAGAGATAATGCTGCACTCTGTCTCCTTGATTCCTGACTATTAAGCTCTGCATAAATATCCTCCAATTTATTCTCAATTAAAGACCTTGCAAAAAAATCAAGGCTCCTTTTTACAGAATCAAACTGAGACTTCCCATCTGAATGGCCAAGTATAACTGAAACCAATGACAGTATGAAAGACATTCCAGGCTTCCCCACGTGAAGCCTCCAAGCTTCCAAAAGCTCTGCACATTTTGGGGACAGCTGAACATATTCACGGAGAACATCTCCACCAGAATCACCCCTTAACAAATAAATAAAGTGTTTTGAAGCCTCTGAGTAAATAACAAGTTCCGGGGAGTGTAGGCTCTTTAATATTTCTGCGATTTTGAATCTATATGAGGTTTGGATAGGATGTCCTAAACCTTCTGCTGCTCCAATCTCTCCCTTCTCTTCCGCTTCCTCCATCACCTCTTCCAACTCTTCACAATGCTCTAATACATGAAAAAACGAACATTTACGATAAAAATTCGAACCTTTTAAATCCCTCGGTTCGGCGGATTTATGGGATTTGGCCGAAGAAGCGCGCGAAAGGGCGTTGTTGCTTCCGATCAAAATGTCGTAACTTCCGATCCGACAGGAAGGGAAAGTTGTCGAAGGAGCGAAGTCGAACAGCCACAAAGGAGCCGAAGAAGCGACTCGTGCAATCTCTACACCTCCTGCGAAGCAACGAAGCCGACGAAAAGGGAAGATGGAAGGCAAACCTAGAGGCCTCTAACTTGTTTTTTATTAAGTTAATTAATAATTAATATAATTTAATATATTAATAATTAAGTAAATTAATTATATAATTAACAATATAATTAGTATATATATATTTATATATATTATATTATATATATATATATCATTAATTAAATATAACTTAAATATATACTATTAAATACATAATTTAATAATATAAATAATAATTTAATAAGTAACTTGTACTTATTAAATTCATAACAAATTATTTTTTATTTTAATAATAAATTAACTTTTTATTGTTTTTACTTTTTCACATTTAAATTATACTATCATAAATCCTGAAATAGTTAACAAACAATTTTCTCATGAATTAATATTTGTCGTACAAAACAATTTTGAAGATTTAACATCGCTGAATTTATTAAATCTGAATTTACAGGATTTACTAAAATCCTACTAAAATAAAACTCACTTGTTGCCAAACAACCCCTAAAATTCAACAGAATTTAACAACGATCATGCCAAATTGCCTTCAAAATTTAATCGCTTTTAGAATTAGCAAATCTTAGATGTACAGCCTACTTTGAGTTAAATCCTCCTTGTAACATCCCGTCAGCGTATTTCTTCTCCTTTCAATCAGTTCTGGCGAGATCTCGATGTCTATCTCGAAACCGCCGGGACAAGGCTGGACTGGTTGGATTGCTATCATAGTGTGGGTCTGATACTTGCCTTAGATCAAACTGCGTTAGATCTAACGGGGGTGGCTTCATCGCGATGACGCAGAAATCAGCTGACCGCCACCGTCCCGAGTGGCCCAGTTCGTTTTCTGTCGTGTTAGAAAAGGCGTGGGGGCTCTCTCGCAAATCAATCCCAATGATTGCCCGCACCGCGCTGTCTACGTTGAACGAATCAGGCCAATGCCAGTGTCAGTCTGCCGCCACCTGTTAATTTAAAGGGTTTAAAATTAATTTAAAACCAATAATTTACCTTGAAAATTCAATAAATTCATTAAAAATAATTTTAAATGCAAAAAAATTGATGTTTTTATATCAAAATTGTTCAGTTAACCTCTTAATTTAAAATTAAAATAGATTAAAATAATTAACATATTTTAAATTATTATTTAACATAAGTTAAATGTAGTTTTTTTAATTAATTTATTTAAATTAAATTCAAAAAATTTTAAAAAAAACAAAATTTATTTAAATAATTTAACATTTCATAAATTATAAGTTTAAAATATTTTAAAAAAAGTAAGTTTATTTTAATATATCTAAATATTACTTGTATGATTTTAATTATTTAAATTAGATATCTAAATATTCTTATTCACCAATTTTCATTAAATAAAAATTTAAATAAATTTCAAATGTTAAGTAAATTATTTTATAATTCAGAAATATTTAAGAAACTAATTCAATTTAATTTGAAATTATTTTAGATGCTAATTAATTTTAAAATTAATTTAAATTCCTTAATTAAACTAAACTTAAAATTCAAAACAAATTCATTTTAAAAATCATAAAAATATAAATATATATCAAACTTTTAGAAAATTAAAAAATTTAATTTAAAACTTTTTTCAAAATTTAAGGTTATTTATTGATTAATTGAATTATTTTGGAATAATTCTAATTTTAATTATTATTTAATTAAATATTATATTAATTATTTAAAAATAAAAAATTTATTTTCAAATTACTCTTGAAAACCAGAGGATTTCTCATTGGTATTTTAAAATAATTTTGATAGTATTTATTATATCTTATTTATTATTATATATATATATATATTATATATATATATATATCATATATATATATATATATAATATATATATATATATATATATCAAAAAAATATGTGGTGTCGTGTTGTGTGTGTGTGTTATCTTATATTATATTTAATATATAGCTATTTGAAAATCTATTTTAAAACTATATGAATTTAAATCCTTAACTTTGAGAGATCCTTTTAAAAGTTTAAGTCTTGATTGAGTTTGAATGAATAGAATTAATGAGGATGATTAGTAAACAATCATATTTTGATTGTTCACTAATCTAATCTTTAATTACAAGTTTTATATTAACCATTGCATGGTTAGGAAGCACACACCACTTAGCCTAGGCTCTCATAGTTTTAAGGACTTGATTGTGTTATTGTGTGTGCTTAATTTATGCTTATCCAAGGGTTAGCAAAACTTTGATTCAAACCAACATAACCTAGTGATATCATTAAGGACTATAATTAAGGACATTTGTCTAGAAAACTTAGATTAATTTTAGAAATTACGATACATATTATTTTGAGTCAAAACTTTGAACACTTAAACTTAGTGACACTCGTAGCCCATAGAAAAAATTTCACTGGTTTTAGAGACCATTAAGCCCCTTAATTGATTTTCTTAAAATTAAACCCTTAATTAAGCTTTAAAATTTCTAAAAATTATAATAAATCAGTTTAAAATCCAAAAATTACAATTGAATCCTTAATCAATGAAAAATAAAATCACTTTAAGTTAACAACAAATTTGAACATAATTTAATTTTAAGTGGAATTGAATATTTAATTAATTTAATTAATTAAAAATAATTGAAAATTCTAGAAAATTTCCAAACACTTTGGAATCTCTTGTTAGGTCATTCCTGACCCTTGGAGTTGATTACAATGAGTTGGGAGTTCATTTGGAACAAAATTAATTAAAGGCCTTTAATTGAACTAATTAAATAATTCAATAAATACACAAAGTTTGAAAAATTATAACTAATTCAAAAAAAAATCTAAATTAAACAAACTCTAAGGCATTCAACTTATAATTAAATCTTATATTTATTAAAAATATCAAACTTTTAGAAATCATTCAAATTTGAAAAAGTCAACTTTTGGTCAAACCTAAGTAAAAAATCAAGTCAAAACTTTAAACCGACATAACTAATGTAGAAAAATCCAAATGCAGCAAAATTTGTGTCTAAGAACTCATCTTAAAGTTTAATATTTTAATAAAATACTAACTTTCTATAATTCAATCTTAATTAAAAAGATATTTTTTGAACCCTTACTTAAATGATTAAAATAATCAAAAAATTCTTAAAACTCAAAAATCACTTTAAAATTCTTGAAATCCTTAATCAACCCTAAAATCAAATCAACCAACTTTAATTAAAATCCATTAAATTTTAAATATTAATCAACTTAAGTTACTTAATCCTAGCGGGTACCACTAGGTAACTCAGGCCTACGAGGCTATTAAATTAGTCTCAAAGAAGTTGAAATAAACTTCACTGCCTCGGTGAACAACAAATGTGGTATCCAACAAATAATTAAAATCAATCTCAAACTCGATCTTAAATCATTAATACTTAAAATTTAATTAAATCTTTCCTTAAGACTTTGATCAACCAACCAAAATTTCAAATAATTTGAACTAATTATCATATATAATACATATCAAAACTACATATCTTTTACACACACATTGGATGATTTGCTAGGACAATCAACTTTAATTTTAAGTTAGGTCGGTGTTTACTTTACTGTAGTTGTGTATTGTATTTTCCATAGTTTTCACTAAATGCTAATTGCTAGCTTAGAATTGATTGATTGTCTATTTATTTACTGCACTCTGTGTTGTGAGTGATTGAGTATTTTAAATTTTAAATATTAATTGCTTGAGATCAATTATAACTGCTTGGGATTATATATAACTGCTGATTATTAGGATATCCTTGCAGGTGTTGAGTCTAGATTTTTCAATTTCATTTGATGTAATTTAATTTGAGCATTGAGTTGTAATAATTTAAAGTGCTTTGAGAATGGGATGTTAGATATCTAATTTGGAATCCAAAGAGGAAAGAACATCCCTCAGGGGAGAGTCCCTCTCAATTTGGAGATCCAAATTCAGATTAGCTTAAAATATCCAAAGTGGAAAGATAACACCCCACCCAAGGGGGAGTTTCTTTTCATTTTGATATCCGGACCCGACGATCCAAGAAGCAACAAAAGGACGAAGAAATGGATAACGAGAAGACTCATTCTCAAAGTCCCTTGAGTCTTAGGATTAAAAATCTGGGCAGTTGTTAGTTGTGCCCGACCACTTTACTTTTCTATAATTCTGGGATGTAATAATAAATGACACTTTCTATATGGACTTTCAATTTGAATAATTAATTTAGTTGATTTGTTTAATAGATTACACAATAGAATTACCTGCTTTTCTAGTCTTTTTACTTGCATGCCGTATTTGATTTAGCTTGATTTGATTGTAGGCTCTTAAGGACTTGTTCAAATTTTTCTACTTAAATCAAATTAAAAAATTTAAGTCAACATAGAAACTCTAACGTTTTAAGAAGTAAATCCGGAACCGTCAGGAGTTCGCATGCATACTTGTTGCACTCTTCTTTTCTTTTTATTAGGCATCTCCCAGCCTACAGGTTTTGGAAGACCACATGGCCTACGAGAGTGCAGATCTGTCAAGGAGAATCTGTGCATCTTTAGGATAAAACCTATTTTTTAAAGCTTTTTAAAAACTGTTTCATTTCAAATTTTGTGCATTTAATCGAGTCGACTAGCAAGCATTGCATTAGTAAAAAATTAAATATAGTATAAAATTTAATTGCATCTGTTTAGACATTAAACACCTAACATAAGTCAAAGGGTCAATTAAGATTTGCTCTAAATGTCGACCCTATTCTTAAAAACTTATCTTAAATAATGTCTCTATCACTCAAAGATTAAAAGATTGGAATACTCATGATTTTAAAGCATCTAGGTGATTTAGCTGGCTCCTTAATTCAGGCCGGGGTAAGTCCAGACCTATATTGCATTAGCGGTTCAGGTCACTAATTTTCAATACTCATTTTAGACTTATGTTTCGAGGCTGGCTTGGGTTATAAGACCTCAACCTCCTGGAATTGAATCACAATATTCTAATAAAATTGACCATTAAATTAAATATCACTTTCAATCAAATTCAAGTCCAACACTTAAGATAGGCATAGATGTTTCTAAAGTAAT